GTCAAATGATTGCAACAAAAGCATGCAGAAAGAGGGGACCAGTTTATTTCGAAAGTTCATTTTGACTCTACGCAAAGAAGTCGAGAAATCTTCTAAGTTTTCGATTCAACGCTTTTGAGTGCAAGAAAAAGGCTCCTTTGACGAATCCTTTATTGCTCAGCTGTCAACGTTTTGGCCACATAACAGCGACCTTCTTCGGAGCAGTAAACTTACAACGGATGTTACAGTATATGCGAAACGTTGATAACTCCATAATAAAGTCTTTGTCACATCAGCCTTCATCTTGCACCTAAAACCACTGAATCAGAAACGTGTAGATGATTTAACGAGATGAGTTGATTAGCAGGCTGTACAATGAATATTTTTTTATTACTTTTAAATTAATCGCTCAACACGTTTGAAACAGACAGCCGCTTATTCAGATCCTGCTATAAATTCATTCCGGTTCCGACATCAATGAATGGAATTTTTAATTATGGTGTTTCCATTATTTGAGATTATTTGAGATTTGCTTACATCTGATTGATTACACAGATTTATATAGGTTACATGGGTGTATGGGTTATAACCATTTTTGTTGGTTCATTGGTTTCCGGTCTGTATTTGATTTTGATAAATGCGTTTAATAGAATGCTGCACAAGTGTTGAATACGATTTACCTCCTGCTATCAAACGTTGCTTTATTGCGTTTATAATTTTCACTTTGCTATCCTGCAGAGTATTTGATAAGTCGTGGCAAACTGCTTAATTAAAATTGGATTGGATCCCGGTTCTTTATGATGTTGTCTAACGTTTTTACTTTCTTGCAAACCGCCGAATCTGCATTCCTTTCACGTGTCTTTTAAAGGTTGAAAAAGAAGAATTTTTGATTTGATTTTTTTAAAGTGGCTTGACTTAATTATCTGAAGAAGCAATAATATTTTAGGCTGTAAAGTGCGATGTAGTGGTGTTTCATGAATTTCAGTTGCCTAGACTTATAAAATTTTATTTGTTGTTAATTGTGTTAAAGTTAGTGATCGTCAGTTTTTAAGGTAAGCGGCGGTCAAGAGAAGGGTCGCGGCATTTCCCGGAAAAACGGCGTGAACTTCTCAAGTGCATCGGAACCTACCTCGACCGAGTCCATGACCACGGCGCAGGTCAGCGCCCCCACTCGTAAGGCGTCGGTCACTAAGTCAGATCCAACCCCTTGCACTGCGACACATAAGACGTCGGCCACCGCTGCGTCCGGTCGCGGTCCCGGAGGTGGAGCTGGAGGTGCTGCAGCCGGTGGCAAACAGCCCTCCCGAACTACTGACCGGAAGGCACTGGTCAAAAAGGGCAGCGTCGATCGCAAAGGCCCTGCATCTACGCAAAGAAAGTCGTCGAACTCCAGAACGCCAAAGTCTTCGGCCGCAGCCGTCGCATCTGCGTCGAAAGACGATTCTTCCGGTCTTAGTAAAGTATGGAAAAAAATTGTTGAGTAATTTCACTTTGTATTTGCGCAAAACATTACTTGCACCTCGCTTAAAATTGCAATGTAACGGCAATAAAGTCTATTTCTGTAATGCGACAAGTTGTTTACTTTTCAGTTATGGTCTGTTGACAGAAATCATTTGTGCACAAACACCACTTACGACAAACATTCTAACTTTGACAAGAAATACTGAAAACTGGAGAAGGAAACTAGATTTTAGATCTTTAATATCCAGGCGCCAATCTGGCAGGCGGACAGTGGTCGCAGCTGCCGGAATCGCCAGCATCACCAGCTTCGCCGGGTTCGCCTGGCGGACCGCTTTTGCCAGACGCACCACCAACGCCAGCAGGACCGGGTTCACCTCTGGGACCTTTCGCGCCGTCTTTGCCGTCTGGTCCAGGCTCTCCTGGAGGTCCAGCTTCGCCTGGTGGTCCCTGGGGTCCACGTGGGCCGGGCGGTCCGACCTTTTCAACGTACTTGCCGGGTTCGCCTGGTGGGCCTCTCGGTCCCTGGTCTCCCGCAAGACCCTTAGCACCTGGTGGTCCACGAGGCCCTTGGTCTCCGTTCTTTCCATCCTTACCTGCCGGCCCTGGATCGCCCTGGTAGCCATCAATACCCTTTTCACCAGGTTCACCTGGATCTCCTGCCGGGGCTTCACATGGACACTGTTCGGGAATCTTAGGTAGTAGTTCGGGAGCTGGAGGAGCCGGATCACCACGGTCACCTGGTTCGCCGGGCAGTCCGTCCGCACCGTCAGCGCCATCTCTGCCAGGTAAGCCTGGAGGTCCAGGCAGTCCGCGGTGGCAGGTACAGCCTTAAACAGAAATATGTGCTAGGTCGAAATCGACAAAGACCTCGACAAGCAACGGCATCGCACTTACAGCTTTCCGCTCCACCGTGTTCTTGTCGCGTGAGTCGCAGGGCGTCGTCGCGCATTCTTTTCATCCAGAAGTCACCGTCAAAGTTAACGGAACGTGGATAACGAAGATTGGTGATCACCTCAGCCATACGCTCCGTGGCTTCTGGGCTTCGGCTACCGTCGTTGGACACGTCCAACATTCTCTTCCATACCATACGGGATCGAGTCTGCAAAACAAGCCGTCAAGAATCATCGACGACTGGTCGAATCGATGGCCGATTACCTTGCAG